GGAGGTTAAGCATTTTTTTTTTTTTTTTTGATAACTAAATTGAATTCTTGGACTGTTTGACAATTAGGACAAACCAAATTCCCTACTCCTTTTTTATTTTTATAATATCTTTCAAGGGATTTCTGAGCCAAGTATTTTTTTCTTTCTGGTTTCTTATTTCATTCGCGAAAGTAAGCAGCATTAGGTTTTACCATATAAATTATTTTAGTCAAAGTTAGTATAAAATAATAATATATACAAAATAATATTAATATGAGTAAGAACATTAAAGATTTAGACAAATACACTGAAAAAGGCGGAAGTATAAAAATTAAAAAAGAGGCTTCTGAGTTAAATAGTTGATATGATTTAGAAGAAATTTTACATGATGCTCATAAACAAAGTGAATGCACTGATAAAGATAATTGTTCAACTGAAGCCCAAGAGAAGTGAAAAAAAATAACTGGAAGAGGAAGGGGTTTTAGTTGCTTTATTAGAGAAGTAGAACAGACTATTAAGCAATTAGGTGGTAAATTATATGATGAAAGAATAAAAGATAAGGGTAATGACGATAGAGAGAGAGAGAGAGAGAGAGAGCAAAATCAATGCGAAAATTGTGGCAAAGAGCCATTTAGTGGTCAACCTGGAACACAAGGACTAGGTTGAAATTGGTGTACTAAATGTTTGCAGAAATGAGAGCAAAAAATGAATGATCCAGAAAAAACGGGTAATTTGCGAGCTTACTGCTCTGAATGTAATAAGTTAAAAGTTTGATCGATAAGTTATAAAGGAGGAAAAGAAGATGAATGAGAAGATAAAAATTGAGCCAAAAGAAAAGATCATGGTAGAATGGATTGATGTAGTGATGAATGCCAAAATAGGTGAGAAACTAAACAAAACAAAAATGATAAATGTGCTGATTGTCAGCAAGAGAAAGATAATTTAAACACTATCCAAGACCAAGGAAAGGAAATTAAAATCTGTTCTGATTGTAAACAAAAAAGAGATGATAAACCAAAAATTCCTAATAAAGAAAACGAAAAAAAATGAGGTTCTGATTTCGGACAATTAAAACCAGTTCAGCGAGAAGGAAGAATTAAAACCTCGAATAATTGAGATGAAAAAAGAGCAAAAAACTATGGACGGCAAAAAGTCTGTCGATATTGCCCTCAAACTTTCGACTATGATAAAAGTTTAAAGTTTTTGCCAGCCAAAACAAAAGTAGAACAAGAATTAGCCAATCACGAGGCTAATTGTCCAAAAAAGAATGACCAAAAAGAGCAACAAAAATTAAAGCAAATTTGGTGAGAAAAAAAAAGTAAACAAAAATGATCTCCTTTTTATACATGTTCGAAATGCTGAGGTAAAGTTTGCTTAGACAAAAATATTAAGAGTTGAGTTGAAGCAAAAAAACAAGGTTTGTTAGATTTGTCTTATCACAAAAATAAAGAGTGTGGAAAAAATTTAGGTGAAAAAGCCAAAATTACAGTTTGCTTTTCCCCTGGTAAAGGAGGTAATGAACACGCTCCTTTAAATTATGCCGATAGTATTAATGAAAATGATTTAGCGATGGAACAAGATAATGAAACCGAAGTAATTTATCAAGAGCAAAATACGGATAACAATGAGTCAAAAGAAACTAAAATTTGACCTTGAATAGTTGGCGGAATAGGAATAATTGCCATCTTAGGAATAGTTATTGTCTTAGTTAGAAAGAGAAAAAACAAAATTAGAAAAACATTTTAGAGAAATTATGGATGAGGAAATAATTATAGGACTTTTTCACTGATTTTGCATTGGAACTTGAATTATACAGATGATTCGTCTATATAAGAGGAAAGACAAAACTCCCTATTTGATAACTCTTATTTTAGGATTGGTTACTCTTTTTACGATTTTCTTAGTTGGTAGTGGTTTATTTTTCTGAATATTGGTAATTGTTAGTCTATTTCTTGGTCGCGGAAAAGAAGAAACGCAAAAAAAAAAAAAAAAAAACAAGAAGAATTTTGATGTGGCATTTGTCATGCCAAATATAGAGAAGAATTTTTGGGCTACGAAACTCTTAAAGAGGGAAAAATCTGTCGTTATTGTTTAGAAAAAAAACGCAAGGAGAAGAAATAAAAGGAGATTTGCTAATCTGTCATTCATACATAAATTATTAAGGTTGGAATAGTCGGAATAATAATTTCTTTTTATTTATAAAAAAGCCTTATTTTTACTTAAATTTGCCCAAATATTACCTTATCTCTCATTACTTCATCATATTCTCTATTCTCATAATCTGATTGAAATTCTATTTTTGCCTCATTATCCAAGTTTTCTCATCTAGGATAATTTAACTTAATCTTGTTTTCATGGCTTTTATCTAAATAAATCGCTGAAACTTTTCAATCATAAGTTATCTTTTTTAATTTTGAAAAACCCTTTAAGTCTATTATTTGATTTTCTCAAATCATGGCAAAATTTATCTCTTCCAAACTTTTTTTACTTTCTCCAAAGTGAATTTTTTCAAAAAGAAGTTCATCATTTCCAAAAAGGTTTAAATGTTTGAGTTTTTTATTACCACTCAAATCTAAATCTTCAAAATGGTTATTGCTAATGTCTAAGTTTTCTAACTCTGGGTAACGAATAAAGTCAAAAGTAAATAAAGCTTGAAATGCTAAGGGTAAATTAGTTATTTTTGCTCTTTCTTTCTCTTCATTATGTGGAGTTGCTCCCGGTCAATCAGCCACATCAGTAAAGACATTATGAATAATTCCATCTAATCCCCTTTCTTCACTCTTACATCTCACAAGAGTTATTTTTTGTCCTCTTTCATAAGTTAAGACAAAAGAGGTATCGTTTTTCTCTACTTTTTTTGGATTATTGAAGTCAATAATGGGGTTTTTCATTAAAACATAAGCTCTTAATCCTAAAAATAAATTGTTAATGTTGGCTAAACTTTGCCTAACTCCTCACTCTTCAGTAATAAGATACTTACAAAACTCATCAGTAATCTTGTTAGCATAAATTTTAGTCTCTTTTTCATTACTCAAAGTCTTATTCGTGATTTTTTTCACTAATGCTATTCTTTTTTGGTAAGTCAAAATTGGAATGTTAACTACCGAACTACGAGAAAGCAAAAAAGGGTCTATTTTTTCAATATGATTATCCGCAATAAAGAAAACTGCTTGACTTAAGTCTAATTTTCATTTTAATCAGTCATCTTCAAAAGAATACTCATTTTGGTCGAGGTCAGTCATGGTTCCAATAATATCAGTTACGGCTTTTCCCTTGGCTCTGGTTAACTCATCAATTAATACTATTGGTTGACTACTTCCCTTATTTAACATTTCCTTTAATAATTTTCCTTGATCAGCACCACCATAAGCAATTTCCCTACCTTTTAAATAAGTTGGTTCATCCACTCCATTCATTGGAATTGAAATATATGCTCTTTGGGATGCTTTAGCAATCAATTTGACAATCGCACTTTTACCGGTTCCTGGCGGTCCTACCAAAATAAATGACATTGGTCTAAATTTAACTGAAGTAGGATGTAATAAATTGATAAAATAATTACCAACAATATTTTTTAATTCTTCGTATCCTTCAATTTCCTCCAAAGTTTTAAAAAAGAAATCTATGGTAGGTCTTTCATAAGTTTTTTCATAGATTTTGATAAGTTTTTCACAGGCCTCAATTCTCTCTTCTTGTTTTAGTTTACTAGTTTGCGCTTTCTTTTTCAATTCTTGGTTTAATCTTCCCAAAAATCGGTAAGTTCCTTCTAAATATCAAGTTGGTTTAACATCTTTACCCTCTTCTTTCATTTTATCATATTCTTCTTTACTAATATCCCGCAAAGCCTCATCATCTAAAGGTTTTCCGGTTTTCGGGTCAATTTCTATTTCTTCTTCTGTCCTTTTGCTCTTTCATCGATGTTCCTTAACTTCATCATCCCAATAATAATTTCCTACTTCAAAAGGATAGATTTTACAAAAAAAAGGATGAAACTCTTGGACTATTGCTTGTAAATCAATTCCCGCTTGCGAAAAAGAATTGAGTAAACGAGGAATTCAACTTTTATCAATTAAATACTGTTTTTTGAAAGTAGTTTGGTTAATTTGTCTCTTTCCAGCATTGCCTATTTGAGTATTAATTTGCTGTGGCTTATTAATTCTTTCGCTAGTT